TTATATGCTTGTATGTGTGCAGATGTATATTTGTAAAATTTTCCATTAGAAACAGATTATATCTTTTTCTGAGTATGCCAGAAGCAAGTAGTGACATTTTAAAATACACTCACAAAGTGTTTGCTACTCCACCACTGGAGTAATGGAATTGAGTTCTCCACTCCCTAGGTGCTCTTAACCACTGAGCCACCTTCCCAGTCCTCTGTATTTGCCTTTTGAGACAGAGTCTTTTGTACCCTGGGCTACCTTCAACTCTTGGTCTTCCTGCTTTCATTTTATGTGGGTTCTGGGAATCAAACTCAGGTCCTCACCCTTCAAAAGCAAACATTTTGCCAACTGAGCCATCTCCCCAGTCTTCCTTTTCTTTTTCTTTTTTTTTTTTTTGTGGGGGGTGGGGGCGTTGATGGATTGGGTGGGGGTTGGTGAAGATAGTTTAAAATAGATTTGAGCTCAGCAGTTAGGAGCAAAAGAGATGCTCAAGAGAAGGTAAGGTACATTGGAGCATGGGTGTGGGCTTCTTTCCAGCCTGCCTCTGCCTCTGCCTCTGCCTCTGCCTCTGCCTCTGCCTCTGCCTCTGCCTCTGCCTCTGCCTCTTCCTCTTCCTCTTCCTCTTCCTCTTCCTTTTCCTTTCTTTTTTCCCCCTAGGGCTGAGGATTAAGCCCAGACCCTTCCACACTTACTGAAGTCATTTCTCTCCTACCATGTAGGCCCTGGAGTTTGGATTCATGTCCAAACTTAGCAGCAAGTACTTTAACCTGCTTTGCCATCTCACCAGCCTTCAGTTTAGTTTCTTTGTTTTATTTTGGTTTGGTTTGGTTTTGGGATTTTGGTTTTTCAAGACAGGGTTTCTCTGTGTAGCCTTGGCTCTCATGGAACTGCTCCGTAGATCAGGATGACTTCCAAGTACTAGGATTAAAGGTGTGCCTCACCACTGCATAGACTGGGTTAGATTTTATGTAGTCAAATTTGACCATCTTTTCTTCACTGTTTGTTGCCTTTGATGTTAATGACTGCCTGTCTGCCCCACCCCTCTCTCTCTCTCTCTCTCTCTCTCTCTCTCTCTCTCTCTCTCTCTCTCTCTCTCATGCTATACATGTGTGAGTGTGCACAGGCATGTGGTGGCCAGAGCAGGGTATTGTTTCCCTCTGCCATTCTCTATTATATTGCCTTGGTGCAGTGTCTCATTAAACTAGCTGGACTGGCTACCCAGGATTTGACTGTCTGTCTCTAATCTCAAAAGCTCTGCTTTTTACATGGATACTGGGATTTCAAACACAAGTCCTCATGCTTTTAGAGCAAGCACTGTGACCCACTGGACCATCTCCCCAGCCCTGAAAGTTCTGGGTAGATTGTCAGGCTTGGCAACAGGTTCCTTTACCCTCTGAACCATCTTGGAGGCTCGGTTTTGTTTTTTGGTTTTCTGTTTGTTTTGGTTGTTTTTGTTTTTGTTTGTTTGTTTGTTTTGCTTTTTATGCCTCCAATAGCTCAAGATTTTAACATCCTCTTTTATTTCTTTCTGCTGTATGTAGCTTCAAAAGTTTTAAGACTCACTGGGCGGTTTGGCACTCGCCTTTAATCTCAGCACTCGGGAGGCAGAGGCAGGTGGATCTCTGTGAGTCTGAGGTCAGGCTGGTCTACAGAGTGAGTTGAGTTCCAAGATAGCCAGGGCTACACAGAGAAAACCTGTCTCCAAAAACAAAACAACAAAAAAAGTTGTAAAAAGACTCTAATTTGTTTTCTTGTGCATGTGTGCGTTCGCACACCTAACAGTGTGCTTGCCTGTGCGCTTGAATGGGAGGACAACAGGTGTCCTGCTCTTTGACTTTCCACCTTATTGTCTTGAGAGGAACCTCGCAGTGAACCCCACAGTGCGGGGATTACTAGCTTGCATGCAGCCATGCCTAGCTTTTTCCCTGGGTATTGAGGATCTGAACTCAGGTTCTCATGTTTGTTCATCAAGCGATTTTATCTTCAGCCTGCTTGCTCATTTATTTATTTATTTATTTATTTATTTATTTATTTATTTATTTAATGTGTAGGAGTAATTTCCCTGAATGTATGTCTGTGTACTACAGAAGAGGACATTAGCTCCTCTAGAACTGGAGTTACTGATGGTTGTGGGCTGCCATGTGGAATATAGAAATAAATCCCAGGTCTACCGGGACAGCAACAAGTCCTGTTAACCACTGAGCCATCTTTCCAGCCCGTTTTATTTTTTAAACAAATAGTTTTCTAGCTGTTCCAGTAGTGCTCTTATTTAGCTTATTCCTGAGTAGATATATACTGTGTTGTTAATGATATTTATCCTCATTATCTTTCAAACTCCTGTTGTTGTTTTGATGGAAAGTAGTTGATTGTATTGAATACTATGACTCAATTCTCATATGGAGTCCTTTGCCCAGACTTTTAGACAATAGTAGTTGCCTCTAAGTGGAATTATTTAGAAGAGTTTGCCATGACTTATCTCTATGCTTCTGCTTGTTTTGATAGTTTACAGAATATTAAATAACTGCAGGAAGGTAGTTGTCATTCCTTTCTGTCCTTGGTGAGGCGCCCTCTGATGTCAGTGTCCAGCCCTCTGATGCTCCCCGTGGAAGTACTCCCCCTCTGGTCTAATAGTGCTGGGTGCTCACTTTTTATCAACAGCCAACATTGAATTTTCTTCATAAGGCTCTCTCAGAGCACTTTGTCATGAGACAACAATGGCTGCTGCTCTTTCTTTTCTTAGAGATAAGGTCTTCTTATGTGACCAGCCTGGTCTGGAATTTGCTGTTTAACCCTGGCTGACCTCAAACTCATGTGGGTCCTTCTGCTTCAGCTCCCCACCTGCCACCACACCTGGCTGTGTCAACTTTTAAGTAGAATATTATGTGTGTAAAGTTTGAGGTGATTCATCAGTGCTGAGGTGCCACTGTGTTTAGGACAGAATCAATTTAGACTTCTTAGGAAAAGGGAAATGTCTTAGGTTTGGTTTAGTAATCATTGAAGGTATAGCCCAGATTCAGATACATGGGGAGAAATGATTGTTCCCTCTGAATTCTCATTTTGGGGTCTGCACTTTCTGTTAACTGTGAAACATGAATATTAACATTTGTGGTTTTTTTCTATTCCGTCTGTCTTTCCTTGTAATTTCCCCCTGTATTTTTAATTGGTTTTGCTCTACATTTGTAGATTTCAATATTGCTTCACTTCCCATTTTAAGTGCTTGTGGAGTCCACATTAACTTATTGGAATGAAAAGGGAAAACTCTTGTATTTAATTTTTTTTCTTGATCCAGTGAAACCATGCCTGCTCTTCCTTTTTTATTTCCTCCTTTCTTCCTTTATTTGAAAGATTTTTGGGGTTATTATTTTGAATTACATATATTATAGAATAAAATATTATATATGCATATCTATATTCTGCAACTGAAAAGGAAAAAGTCAGTCTTTATGCTGAGAGAGCTATTGCCCAAAATAGGAAGCAAAAACAGATATCTCAACAAGAGTCAAGAGATTGCCTCACTGATAAAACAGGAACAAGCTGTCAAAAACAAAAGGATCAGAGGACCACCTTGGGTGTAGGTCCTCACCTCCGTCTTGTTGGAGTGAGTCCTTTTGTTCACCAGTGCAGAGTATGCCAGGCTGCTGACCCAGGGGCTTCGGAGGGCCCTCCTGTGTCTGCCCTCCATCCTGCTGTAGGAGCTCGGAGATGATGTGCCTGCTCTGTGTGCAGATGTGAGCTTAGCTCTTTATAGTTGCATGACAATCACTTTACTCACTGAGCCATCGCCCCAGCCCATGTATTTTATAGATACTTATTGTCTCTCTTGACACATTTGGGCAATGCTTGCATTTCCTGTGAAGATTCTGCTTGTCATTTACTTCCAAACTTAATGATGCTCTTTGCCAGAAACTTCTTTCAGTTCTTTACAGCATAAATGATTGAACATTTGTTACATGGTTGGCCTTCTATTCTAGCTCTTTATATCTTAGTCATCCACATTGTGAACTCCTTGAATCCAGTTACTGCGTCTTGTTCATCTTTATAGGAGAGGTGGTAGAATGAAAAGGCTGGAGAAAGCCCAATTTGAGCCCCATTCCCTATTTTATTCCCCATGGAACCTTAAACAAATAAGTTACTTAGCCTCTCAGTGGAGTGTCCCCTTTGTAAAATGGTTCTAACATTACTCACCTCTGGAAGCTGTTTGGAAGATGAACTAACAGTCCAGTGAACTCTGAGTAAGTATTACTTCTTTATTCACTACTCTTTACTGTACCTAGCCCACATAGTATACCTTACCCACACAAACCTCCGTCAGCAATGGATTGAATGAGTGAATGAATGAGTGAAAAATTTACTTTTGCATTGAATCAGTAACTGGGCCTAGAAGATAAACCTGGGCCCCTGAGTGTCCACTACTTGTTCCCATCTGAACATTCAGAATCGGTATTTCAAATTGCGTTTCATGGCTCCTAGAATGAATAAGGAATTGGGTTTTGTTTGACAAAGTATGATTCCTCTATGAAAGACATAGTAGTCTGTGTAACTCATGCAGTTGTTTTCTTTCTTATCTGCCTTGAAGTTTGAGAAATACTGACAAATGGAATCCGAAAGTCACCATGGTATTAACGTAGAAGGATTTGATTCAAAGGAGAATTTGTAGGTGACAGTCAGCTAACTCACCCGAGATGGACTCCACAGGTCCAGTCAGTGTTCTGTGTGTGTGTGAATTCTGCATGTGTGCAAATTCTGTGTGTGAGTTTTGCTTTACTCTCCCTGTTCCATTTAACGTGTTGTGTCATCTCTCTCTGTGTCAGATTTGTATCACACAAGGTTGAACAGTCTTCCCTGCTTACACAGTTTAAGCTGGGAAATTGTATCTTTTTTCATGTTTTGAGTGGAAGGAATGGTTATTTTTGACATTAAATATTGAACTTTGAGGAAGAGCAGAGGGTGGGATGTGTCCTATAAAATAACACACCTCCTAGGAAATTCTCCCCTTCTGTACTCTCTCGTAGGACGGCACTTCCAAAGGTCCTGGAAACTTGCTAGAAATGATGTACCAAGAGCCAGCTCGATGGTCCTACACATTCCAGACGCTTTCCTTTATGAGCCGTCTGAAAGTGCAGCTGGAACCCCTCCCGGGGAAACTCATACAGGCAGAGAAGTCTGTGCGAATCTTTGAGAGGTCTGTGTACAGTGACAGGTAAGACCAAACACTGCCAACCACAGACATCATGCTCACATTGGTGTGGTTTTTTTCCTTGCATAGGTCCTGAATTTGGCTTACTAGTCATTGTAAAACTGTAGGTGAAACAATTATTTTCCTTTGTGCATATGTATATATGTGTGTACATGCACAAAGATGCACTTGTGTGTACTAGTGTCTGTACATATGTGTGCCGAGGCCAGACAGCCTCAGTTGTTTTCCTTAGATGCCATACTTTTCTTTTTTGTTTTTGGGTTTTTTTTTTTTTTTTTTTTTTTTTTGAGACAGGGTCTCTCACTAATGTGGAACTGTCCAAGAAAGCTACGCTTTCTGACTAGTGAGCCCTGGAGATCCACCTGTCTCTGCTTCTACAACATGGGGATTACAAACCTTGCTTTTTAAATTGGATTTGGGGGCCAAGTTCAAGTCCTTACTAAATAAGCCATCTCCCCAACACCAAGAATTTATGTTCTTTTTTGAATAATTTTTTTAAGATTGTATTCTTATTTTGTGTCTTGGATGTTTTGTCTGTGTGTGTCTATGCACCACATATGTGCAGTGCCTGTGGAGGTCAGAAGAGGGCATTGGACCCTCTTGAACTAAAGTTACCATTGGCTGACATGTGGGTGCTGGGAACAGATCCCAAGTCCTCTGGAAGAGCAGCCAGTGCTCTTAATCTCCAAGCCATTTCACCAGCCCCCAAAGTGAATTGTTCTTTCTAATACAAATCTATATACATTTGTCCAGAGTTGTAATACTACTGAGTTATCATATATGTCAAGAAAACCAATTGTGCTTCTCACCAGCTTGATGCACTGGATTTCCAAAAGTGCCACTGACTTCTGGGTCCCACCATTACACACCAAAGTCATAGAATAGCCACATAGGTGACTCTCAGAAGCCAAACAGGTTGGTGTTTGGTTATCACCTCTTAGCAGAAGTAGCAAGTGGAATTAAAGTTTGTGTACTTAAAAAAAAAAAAAAAAAACAGGGGCTGGAGAGATGGCTCAGTTGTTAAGAGCTCGAGTTATTCTTGCAGAAGACCCAGGTTTGATTTCCAGCACCCACATGGCAACTCACAACTGTCCATAATTCCAGTTCCAGGAAATCCAGTGCCCTCTTCTGATCTTCACAGGCACCAAACACACACACGGTACACAAACATACATGCAAGCAAAACAAACAAACATGCAAGTGGAACACATATACATATAATAATTAAACATGAAAAAAATTTAAACAAAAAACATTGCCGGCAACCCATGAATCCGTTTAATTCTTCAAGATGGGATGTTGTTGCTGGGAGTGACGCACACCTTTAATCCTATCAGAGGCAGGTGGAACTCTGTGAGTTTGAGACCAGCCTGGTCTACAGAGCCAGTTCTAGGACAGCCAGGGCTACACAGAGAAACCCTGTCTTGAAAAACCAAATATGATAACAATCCGAAATGAGCTTCTGTTTCCAGTGCAGCATTTTTGACCACCACCACCCCATTATGGATGGGGCTTATTACTGGCCAGTGTCTACTGGCACCTTGTAACCATGTCACTTCATGGGAAAGGGCATCATCAACTTAAGGGAGTAAACTGTCAAGTGCTTTAGTCTAGCAGCTTGGGAAGCAAGTCCATTTGTTCTAGGAAAGCATGTTCATCCAGGCTTCAGACTCCAGAGACCAGACCATGGACTCAGGCCACCAGCAGACAAAGGCACAGGGTGCCTTGATTTGGCCATTGTAGGAAGTTTGAATTTGAATGACTTTGGTGGGGGAAAATGATTTATTTGTCTTGAGCCCATGACTGAAGATGGGACAATCTGTATCTTTGCCTGCCTCCATCATTGAAGACATTTGGTTACCATTTTTTGGGGGGGGAGTAGGTGAGACAGGGTTTTTCTGTGTAGCTTTGGAGCCTGTCCTGGTACTCTCTCTGTACAGCAGGCTGGCCTTGAACTCACATAGATCCACCTGCCTCTGCCTCCCAAATGCTAGGATTAAAGGTGTTGGCTTGGTCACCCATTTAATTCCAGGTTAAGTGAACTAGTTGCAGCTCTTACTGGAAAGCTTCCTGAAATTAACAGAATGAGAATTGGTGCACTGGAGAAATGGCTCAGCAGTTAAGAACATTTCCTGTTTTTCCAGAGGACTCAGGTTCGATTCCCAGCACCTGCATGGCTGCTCACAACCATCAGTAACTCTAGTTCCAGGGGATCCAACACCCTCTTGTGATCTCTGATGGCACCAGGCATACACATGATGTATGTACAGGCATGCAGGCAAAACACCATACACATAAAATAAAGCAGTAATTTAATATTTTTAAAAATAAGAGTTTAGGGCCAGGCATATTGGCATACACCTTTTATCTCAGTAGTTGGTAGACAGAGGCAGATTGATCTCTGTGAGTTTGAGGCCAGACTGGTCTACAGAGTGAATTCGAAGTCAGATAGGGAGGGCTACATAGTGAAACCCTGTCTCAAAAAAGGGGGGGGGGGGGGGGAGGGACAGTTCATTGTAAATGACATGACTATTCTGACTGCACTTCAAGATCACACCATATATGTGAAAGAGACGGTGCCATTCAATCCTTCATTCCAGGGCCTGAGAGGGGTCTGTTCTTCAGAAAGCTAAGTGCTTATGGTGTAGATAGTTGGGCTCCAGGTTTTAGATTGGTTCCATGGCAGCTGTGCCTGTCTTCCTCTCTCCTCTCAGAGCCATACCTCCCAGGCTAGGAAGTTGACCTATGTGAACCACCTAAGCTGTTGGAGACATTCCGATTTGCTGTTTTGAGTTCTAGCCTCTTAGTGTGGTGGGCTTGTGAGAATCCCCCCTCAAAGGATAAGAGACATGTTTTGTTAATTACAGGCTTTGCTGTTTGTTTAAAAAGGGTCCCAACTAGCCGGGCGTTGGTAGCACACGCCTTTAATCCCAGCACTCGGGAGGCAGAGGCAGGCGGACCTCTGTGAGTTCGAGGCCAGTTGGTTTCCAGAGCGAGTGCCAGGATAGGCTCCAAAGCTACACAGAGAAACCCTGTCTCAACCCCCCCCCCCGTCCAAACTGTAGCCCTAGCTGGCCTTGAATTCAGTGTCACCAGATTGACCTCATACTCATAGGTGTCCTACTGCCTCTGCCTTCTGAGTATGGGTAGTGCCAGCACATAGAAATGAGTTGTTAAGGGGCTGGAGAGATGGCTCAGAGGTTAAGAGTGCCGACTGCTCTTCCAGAGGTCCTGAGTTCAATTCCCAGCAACCACATGGTGGTTCACAACCATCCATTATGAGATCTGGTGCCCTCTTCTGGTGTGCAGATATACACGGAAGAAGAATGTATACATAATAAATAAATAAAATCTTTAAAAAAAAAAAAGAAATGAGTTAGTTGTTAAGAACTATCTGGGGAGCTAGGTGATGGTGCACACCTTTAATCCCAGCACTCAAGAGTTCTAGGACAGGGTCCAAAGTTACAGAGAAACCCTGTCTCAAAATAAATAATTAATTTTTAAAAAAACTATGTGGGTCTTGACTTTTCCTTATAAAGGAGCAGCAGTTGGTTATACTTTGGGTCATTGCACCATTGAAGCCACTTCCATTGAAGCAGAACATTTTCAGGTAGAAAGGATAGCCTGTTACAAATTCTAATCTCAAGAGTGTTTAGACTTCCCATTCCTTTAAAATTGTATTCCGGGAACTGGGAGTATGACTTGGTGGTCCTTTTCATGCCCAGGACAAGAGAGTTCAAGCCCCAGTGCCAAAGGGGAAAAACTCAGTCCTTTATTTGTTTGATCAATGTAGGTTTATTGAATATATCCTGTACTCAAGCACCAGGCTTTGCCCTAGGGCAACATCAGTGTCCTTAGTCCCTGTTGCAGTGAGGATACTGCTTTACCAAGGACTGCGTTGCATACATGTTCATAAGTGTGGTGTGTGTTGCAGAGGACAGTGCCTGCAGGGAAGAAGAATTGGAAGTGTTTTCTGATTGAGTTAACGCAAACACCAATGTGGCTTTAGAACAGAGTTCTGGATTGCCAGGTCCTTCATCCCTGCCCTCCCTGCAGCTCCCCACACCTCTCTGTGTATAGCCCCCACTCCCCCTTCTGCCCATTTCCACCAGCTATGGAGAAAGAAGGGAAGTGCCCACCTTAGGAGAGGCAAAGGCCCCTATTATAGGCTTGGTCATTTTTATTTGCAAGATGCATCTTTTATCTTGTAGCTGTCCTTGAAGAAGCTGGCAGCATTTTTTAAAACTTGAGTTACAAAAGTCACCTTCTTGTTGCCTTCAGAGAGCTGGAGCTAAAACATTCTAGTCTGAGAAAATTCATTTTCGGAGTTTGCAAATTACCTTCTTCGTGGCCTAGAAAGAGCGGTTACAATGACTTAGGACTGTTGGCTGTGGGTGAAGTCACCCTCAAAAGTATGATATGCAGTCATCCCCTGCCATGGCTCGGGTCACATAGCTTTCCAAGGCAACATAGCTTGTAGGAGCTGCAACTGGATCAGAGCCTGCAGAGTCCCGTTGAAAGCTACTCTCCTAAGGGTGACACTCACGACTTTGCAGTTTGCACTTCTCTGAACCATTCACACAAGGTTTTTGAATTTCATTTTCCCAGAAGTGGCCAGTTGCTGAGGTTGCCTTAGAAACTGGAGTTGATTGTTGTGGGTGTAAATTGTGTTTTGTATCAAGCTTTAAAAGCAGAATTGACCCTTTTTGAAGCCATGATTTCTACAGCTCTGATTTCTCAATTTACCAGATCCTCCTCCTGTTGTGGAAGTAAGCAAAGGGGGAAGTTAGTTTGATAATCCAGCTTTAGCCTTATTTGATCTGGTTGGAAGCTCAGCAGAGGAAGCTAGGCTCCTGTGTGCTCTGGAGGGGAGACTGCTCTTGGTATTACAAAAGTCAGCTGA